AATATCATATGAGTTCACTCATATGAGAACTTTAAGAGACAAAACAGATGAACCTAAGGGAAGGGAAGCAAAAATAATATAAAAACAGGGAGGGGGACAAAACATAAGAAACTCTTAAATGTAGAGAACAAACAGAAGGTTGCTGGAGGGGTTGTGTGGGGGGAATGGGCTAAATGGGTAAGGGGCATCAAGGAATCTACTCCTGAAATCATTGTTGCACTATATGCTAACTAACTTGGATGTAAATAATAAAACAACAACAACAAAACTACTGAACAATTAGAACAATTACCCAAAATAAAAATATACTTCCATATACCAAAAAAATCATCAAATTAAAATTATTCTTACATATTTAAGCAAGAAAATAAATTATAGTATTCAATTATAACCCCCAAAAATAAATATCTGTCAGTCCATACATCTACAAACATATTTGTTTTTTGTTTTTTTTTTAAATGATTGTTTTCCATGTAGAGGATTTTAAGTTTATTTATTCTTTTTTATTAAAAAAATTGTTTTAACCTTTATTTTTGAGAGAAAGAGACAAAGCTCAAGCGGGGAAGGATCAGAGAGAGAGACATAGAATATGAAGCCGACTCCAGGCTCTGAGCTGACCATGAGATCATGGCCTGAGCTGAAGTTGGATGCTTGACCTTGGATGCTTAACCGACTGAGCCACACAGGTGCCCCTATTCATTTTTAGAGAAAGAACAAGAAGGGGAGGGGAAGAGAGAGCGGGAGAGAGAGAGAATTCCAAGCAGGATCTGAGCAGTCAGTGCAGAGCTCCACATGGGACTGAAACGCAGAAATGGTGAGACTATGACCCCAGCTGAAACCAAGAGTTGGTTGCTCAACTGACTGAGCCACCTAGGTGCCCCTAAAAATACATATATGAATGAATGAATGAATGAATGAATGAATGAAAAGTAAATACAAGAAAGAGACAGCTCTTCTTTACAATCAACAAACATAAAAGGAATGACAGAAATAGAAAATCACCTGTAGATCACCACAGTAATAATTGTTGCATGAAAAACCAAATTCTGTGCTCTAAAATTATACCAATAGGTAAAAGTTTGAAAACAAATAATACTTTCAGCGTGTCAAAATATCTCTCCCAAGATGTTTTGTTTTTTTTTTATTGTTTTTTTTTTTAATTTTTTTTTTTCAACGTTTATTTCTTTTTGGGACAGAGAGAGACAGAGCATGAACGGGGGAGGGGCAGAGAGAGAGGGAGACACAGAATCGGAAACAGGCTCCAGGCTCTGAGCCATCAGCCCAGAGCCTGACGCGGGGCTCCAACTCCCGGACCGCGAGATCGTGACCTGGCTGAAGTCGGACGCTTAACCGACTGCCCACCCAGGCGCCCCAAGATGTTTGTTAATTACAATGGGAAAGAGTAACTTTATAATAAATCCAGCAGATATCACTTAATGAAGTGACTAGGGTTAACATCACCAGCAGCAAGACATATTGACATCATGTGTACTTTGATATGATTTATGTTTTGTTAAGGCACACTGGTTTTAAATATATATATTTTAATGTCTATTTTTGAAAGAGAGAGAAAGAGAGATTGAGACAAAGCACAAGCGGGGGAGGGACAGGGAGAGAGGGAGACACAGAATCCAAAGCAGGCTCCAGGCTCTGAGCCATCAGCATAGAGCCTGACACAGGGCTCAAACCCAAGAACCACAAGATCATGACCTGAGCCGAAGGACACTTAACCAGCTGAGACACCCAGGCACCCCAAGGCAAACTGGTTTTCAAGAGATAGAAAATTTTATACAAGTTTTCTTCTAATATTTTAGAAATAGCTCCTGCTCTTCTTTTTAAATTTTTTAAAAATTAAAAAAAAATTTTTTTTTAACGTTTTTATTTATTTTTTTGGGACAGAGAGAGACAGAGCATGAACGGGGGAGGGGCAGAGAGAGAGGGAGACACAGAATCAGAAACAGGCTCCAGGCTCTGAGCCATCAGCCCAGAGCCCGATGCGGGGCTCGAACTCACAGACCGGGAGATCGTGACCTGGCTGAAGTCGGACGCTTAACCGACTGCGCCACCCAGGCGCCCCAAATTTTTTAAAAATTTTAATTCCAGTAGAGTTAACATGGTGTTCCATTAGTTTCGGGTGTACAATATAGTGATTCAACAATTTCGTACATTACTCAGTGCTCATCCGGATAAGGGTACTCTTTTTTTTTTTTTTAATTTTTTTTTTACGTTTATTTATTTTTGAGAAACAGCGTGAGACAAAGCCTGAGCGGGGGAGGGGCAGAGAGAGAAGGAGACACAGAATCCGAAGCAGGCTCCAGGCTCTGAGCTGTCAGCATAGAACCTGATGCAGGGCTTGAACTCACAAACCGTGAGATCATGACCTGAGCCGAAGTCGGACGCTCAACCTACTGAGCCACCCAGGCGCCCCTTTTTTTTTTTTTTTTTTTTTTTTTAATTTTTGGGATAAGGGTACTCTTAATCCCTTTCACCTATTTCACCTATTCCCCTACCCACATCCCCTCCAGTAACCATTAGTTTGTTCTGTAGAGTTAAGAATCTGTTTCTTGGTTTGTCTTTTTTTTCCCTTTGTTTGTTTTGTTTCTTAAATTCCACGTATGAGTGAAATCATATGGTATTTATCTTTCTCTGACTGACTTATTTTGGCATTTGTTTTTTAAAAGTCTTTAGGTTATTGGGAACTTAGTGGACAGCAATTGTAAGACAGTCTAAATCTGTTTAATTTTCATAGTTACCCACTGAGAAAATGGGTCAATAAAAAAAAAAGAAACCACTCTAGATATCTTTCACCATCTCCAGTGAATTCAAATTTCAGTAAAATTAACAGAAATGTTATTTGAAATTCATTACACTTGTAAGAAGGAATGAAATATTTACATCCTCTTTTGATGAAAAAAGAATGGTCTTTAGTATCTTGAGCAAGCCACCTTCAAACTAGTTTCCATAAAAATTAAAGGCAAAAGTAATATCAGGTTTATGTTCAAAAGCATCGAAAAGCCACAAAAACAAAAATAAGGAATACATATTTTTTAATTATCCATAAAACATAAATGAACATTGATAATTAGGCCAAAGAAAAAATATCAATTTCAAAAGGTAGAAATATTTTATTTTCTGATTACAATGCAATAAAGCTAGAAATTAATGACCAAATCAGAAAAAAAAAATTCCTTTATTTTGAAGATTTAAAAATTGTCTTAAAAACTTTTTTTAAATGTTTATTAAATTTTGAGAGACAGAGCATGAGCGGGTGGAGGGGAAGAGAGAGAGGAAAACACAGAATCTGAAGCAGGCTCCAGGCTTTGAGCTGTTAGCAGACAGCCTGACACAGGGCTCAAACCCACAAACCACAAGATCATGACCTGAGCCAGAGTCAGATGCTTAATTGACTAAGCCACCCAGGCACCTTGATTTAAAGACTATCTTAAATGATGGTTTGAGTCAAAGGGGAAAATACCAACAGAAGTTGGATCTTAAGAGGGAGAATGAAGGCATAAGGGCAATTGCTAGCCTCTGTAATATCATTTTGTTTCCAGTTTATTTACTTTGAAAGAGAGAGCAGGAGCAGCAGAGAGGCAGAGAGAGAGGGAGAGACAGAGAGAATCCCAAGCAGGTTCTGCACTGTCAGCGCAGAGCCTGATGCAGGCCTCAAACTCACGAACCATGAGATCATGACCTGCGCCGAAACCAGGAATTGGACACTTAACCTACTGAGCCACCCAGGTGCCCTCTGTATGATATCATTGTATGAATTAGAAAAGATGCTCCTTCTTCAAGTAGAAAAGAAAGACCAACACTGCTGCATCTGTGGATGGTCATGAGGCAGTGTCTCAGAGCCCAACTGCCTAGAGATGTGCATGAAGCTCGGGGAAATTAAAGTCAGAGTGAGTTGGTAGCTATGAAAGAAAAAAACATAAACTTCTTTCCTCTAATAAAATAAAACCCACCTACAAGAGCATGAATTTTCCCTTAAGACTGGATGCAAACTTCTAGTTAGTGAAGTGCTTGCTAGAAAGATTTTGAAGGCGAAGAGAAAGTCTCACATAAGGAATGTTTCTTTTGAATTTAATATTCTCAAGGTTCTGATTCCTAGGAACAAAAAGACAAGAATGCACCAGGTTTAATCCATTTGTTACTTTTCTATAGCCCACTACAGGATCTAGTTGTTTCAAATGCTTTAGATAAATTATTCTATTTTTAGCAAGTTCTTGTGAAAATTAATGATCAAAGTTTTATATCACCTGTAAATGAATCAGGAACAAGTGTATAAGTCTGTCTTAAAGGATGACTATTTTTGAAGCTAAGAAAAGTCCCAGTTTGTAATTATGTTAAGGAACCATTCAGATATTCTCTTTTTACTGCAGTGGATTCTTTTCCTTTCTTTTCTTTTCTTTTCTTTTCTTTTCTTTTCTTTTCTTTTCTTTTCTTTTCTTTTCTTCTCTTTTCAGAGAGAGGGAGCATGCCAGTGAGCAAGGGGCAGAGGAAGAGAGAGACAGGGGAGGTGGGGGGACGGGGAGCAGGGCTCACTTGATGCAGGGCTTGTGTTCACCTGAAGCAGGGCTCTTGCTCACCTGATGCAGGGCTTGTGCTCACCGCAAGCAGGGCTCAAGCTCACCTGAAGGGGGGGCTCAAGCTCACTCATCGTGAGACCAGAACTCACAAAAACATAGATCATGGCCTGAGCCGATGTCAGATGCTCAACAACTGAGCCACCCGGGCACCCCTGGAATATTTTTGAATGCAGCAATTCCATTTCTCGATTTCTCTAAACTCACGAAGACATGCAGCACTTTTTGGGTTCTATTTTCTACGGACAGCTTTGTTTTATGGTAGTATCTCTCCTAGGAGCAATAAGGTTCCAAGGTGCTATGAAAGTCCATGGAGAAGTTTTCACACCATGCACTTAGGTGGTAAAAAAAAAAAAACAACAACAAAAAACAAACAAACAAACAAACAAAAAACCATGCTGCAGTTGAGTTTGGGTTATAGGTAGTAGAGATGAGGTTGGGAGGTCATAGAATACAGTTAGAATGAGTTGAATAAAAACCTAGAAAAGTAGGGAATTTTGGAAAGGACTGGCATAAAGGTCTTTCTGGGATGAGGAGTAGGTGTAACTCAAGATAGATTTTGATTCATGAGTCATTGGGTATGGGGGTTAAGAAGTTTCTATTGTGACAAAAAGAAACAGAAGCTGGAGATAGGCCACAATAGTGCAGTGACAGAATAAAGACCTGGTTGCTAGGGTCAGGGAATGAACACTAGAAGCCTGGAGAAGGGGAGATGGACCCTAGCTCCTGGTCCCCTTAGTCACCTTCCCTCTCCCCTAGGTCATCTGAGATGTCACCTTCCACTTAAACATCATCTCCCTGGTTTGAGACCTTAGCTCTGGTCTCTGGACTTCTGGTTGGTTTTGTATTTCCTACCCATTTGCACAGAGGACCACCACCTTCCCTTCCTGGAATTTCTAAGGTTTTCTGCTTGCCACATGCTGTAATCACAAGCCCTACTAACTCAGCTGAGATGGAAGTGTCCGCCCTCTCCAAAACTCTTAAACCTACTCCTGATCTCAATCAAGAGTCCTTGGGTCCTCGGATTATCATTGTCTTATTCGAAATTGGATCCCTTCCCCCTGTCTCCTGGGGTTCTCTCCCTTCCCTAAATAGTAGTGGTCATCAAGTAACTGAACAACAGACTGCACAAAAGTTTGAAAATCTCTTAAAAGAAATTAAAGACATTAAAAGTGTCACAAGTTGTGGAGAGAAGATCACAGAAACAAAAGATTCTTTTGAGGAAACCAGTATTTCTGAGGATGTGTCAGAACTTAAAGAAAAAATCAGAGAACTTGACAAGATAAATAAAGTGTTATTGAAAAACTTGCTTGGTAGTTCAGACCTAGAGAAAGAACAGAATGTAAAGAAACAGGAGATGATATTGGAAAACCAGAATTCCAAGGACATGGTACAAACTTTTGGAAAGGATTTGGTAAGTCATTCAGAAGAAAACAGACCCCTTAATGAAACTCAATTAAGCAAGGAAAAAGCAAATTACAGACACCATCATATTCAAGAAGAAAACATCAAACTTAGGAGCAACATGGAGCAGTTACTACAGGAAGCTGAACACTGGAATGTGCAACATACTGAGCTTAGTGAACTAATAAGATCATATCAGAAATCTCAGAAAGACATACAAGAAACTCTTGAAAATAATGGAGTGCATTTCCAAACTCAACCAAATAACGAGGTGTCAGCTAAGCATGAACTGGAGGAACAAGTGAAGAAACTGGAACATGACACATATTCATTGCATTTGATTGCAGCTTTGCTGGAAAATGAATGTCAAATCTTACAGCAGAGAATAGAGCTTCTCAAGGAACTCCATCATCAGAAAGAGGGAACTTGGCGAGAAAGTCTAATTCAGATAAATTGTGAACAAGACAAGAAAAAACAGAAACTATCAGAAACAGAGTATAAGGAAAAAATGCAAGGAAGAGATGGTACATCTCAGAAAAAACACAAAGTCTACAAAAGCCTGGATGCTTGTAGTAAGAAAGCGCTTAATAACCGCTTCAATACCCATATTGCAAGAAGAGATCTTGTGGGAAAAAAGAGGCCATCCAGCAGCCTAACTTAGAAAATACAAAATTAGAAGAAAAGACAGTTCTTCAAAAACTGTAATACATCAACTCCAGGCATAACCAATCAGCACACCTAGGATAGATCTGTTGGTTCAACCAGGAGCAAGCTGTAGAACAAGAGGATTAACACGTTATTCATTACCTTAGTACTTACATGAGTTTGGTCTTTCGTGACCTTTATTGTCAACAACAAGTTCATAACCTGTCATACAATTTGCTTGTTTTGTTGTAGTTATTAGAGATTCTATGCCCCGTTAACCAAGAAGGAGAAGTTATCAATCTAATCTAAATAAAAACAAGAATGAGCAATGAAAAGTTTTTATTTTCTTTAATCATTTACTGGGTAAGGGGAGTTTTCTTGGGAGGAAGTATATAACACTTTAATTGCGAACCTTTAAAGCTCACTTTTTAAAGCCATGTTTCCTTTTCTTAGTATCTATTGAAGTGTGGGAAGTAGTGAAGTAAAGAAGCAAAAAAAAAAAAAAAAAAAAAAAATGCTGATAAACCACCCCAGAACAGTTTTTCTCTTCTCGTAAATCTCCACATTCCCTAACACTGTTTTTTCTAATATTCCTCCCTTGATCCTCCACCGGTGAACAGTGGGCATACCAAGCAGCAGAGGCCTTAGGTGAAGGATACTTCAGTTGGTTTAGAAGAATAGATACATATCTGGATTTTGTTCTGTGCTGGCAAAATGCTTTCCACTCCTCCAGGTAGGGGCAGTAGAGTTACCCAGGGGAAAAAGCTGTATCTTCTGTTAAGGGAGCTGGACTTCTGGTTCCAGGAAAAATAGAGCACGTGCATTTCTTCCTCTTCTATTAAGTATGCTAAAAACCCTGGACATTATGTATAAAATGAACATATGAAGATTCTGAAATGGAAAGAATGAGATGGACTATCCAGAGACCCTGAGACTTAAGGAACAGCATGGTATTGAATTTCCCGGGTTTTCTTTCTATCTCGTATATCCTGGAAAGAATGTTGGAGGAGCCACAACCCAGAAATGCCAATGTACTTACACACAAAAAATGTTCCCTTTGCCTGCTCTCCCTTGGCAAAGGATGAGGAGAGAGACAGTCTTGGACAGGAAAAGGAGAGGAAGGGGACTCTAGCCAAATTGCATGGAAAATGCCATGTCTCCACCCTCACCCCACCAGTAAATACTGGGTGGCAAGCCTAGACTTTCACCTTTGCCTGGTGGTAATGAGGCACTCCTCCCCTTTTCTTCTGGGATGGTACAGAAGAAGCAGAGTGGGGACTCTGAAGTCCTACCTCCACTTCATGGTAACAACGTGGTCCTCCCCAACCCCCTCCTCCAGTGGATTAGAAGGTCATGGAGGCCTTATGCTGCTTTTTTACGCAATTTCCCTGCTGGCACAGCATCAGAAGAGGCCTGCTAAAACAGACGGTTTAATAAGATCCAGGGTGTCATAATAAAATGCTAGAATGTCCTGAACACATAGAAAAATCATTAATTATACCAAGAACCAGTAAAATTTCAATTTGAATGAAAAAAGACAACAGATGCCAACATTGGGATGACATAGATGTTGGAATTATCAGATAAGGATCTTAAAGCAGTCATTATAAAAATGTATCACTGAGCAATTATGAACACGTTTGAAACTAATGAAAAAATAGAAAGTCTCAACAAATAGAAAATATAAAGAAGAAACAAATGGAAATAGTTGTAAAATAAACTCACTGGATGGGCTTAATAGTAGAAGTTGATGTCAGAGGAAAAATTCCATGAAACTGAGGATAAAATACCCATTGTGAACAATGGAGAAAACAGGCTGAAAAGAAAAGACTTTCAAGAACCTGTGGAACAGTAACAAAAGATCTGACATTGGTGTCATCAGAGACACCTCCCAAAAGGGGCAGAATGTGACATGAAAAAGTATTCAATGAATATACGGCTAAAAATCCTCCAAACGTAGTAAAAGGCATCAAGCTACAGATTCAAGAAACTGAGTGGACTCCAAATAGAATAAACTCAAAGAAATTTGAGGCACTCAAATTTCTGAAACCTAAAGACAAAGTAAAAATCTTTTTTTTTTTTTTTGTAATTTTAAAATGTTTATTTTTGAGAGAAAGAGAGAGAGCTGAGTAGGGAAGGGGGCAGAGAGAGAAGGAGACAGGGAATCTGCTGACAGTGCAGAGCCCACTCGGGGCTCGAACTCATGAATCCATGTGATCATAACCTGATATGAAGTTGGCCACTCAACCAACTGAGCCACCCAAGCACCCCAAGACAAAGTAAAAATCTTAAATGCAATTAGAAAAGATTCATTAAACTTAGGGGACAATGATCCAAATGACAGTGAATTTCTTATCAGAAACCATGGAGGCCAGAAGGAAATGAACATATTTCAAGAACTGAAAGAAATGTGACCCAAGAATTATTTACCCAGTGAAAATATCCTTCAGAAATGAAGATGGAATCAATACATTCTCAGAGGGTAACTGAAAGAATTTGTCACAAGGTCACATCTGTCTGAAAACAATTAGAAAATGAGATTTTTAACTGGGCAACCATGTTGCCCAGGCAGAAGGAAGAATTAATTTTGGAACCATGTGAAGTATTGAGAAAATATTTTTGTATTTCTACACAGGGCTTTCTGGGAAAGTTTTGTGGAACCTTGAGATCTTGGACTAAAAGCCAGCTCTAGAAGATAATTCAGAAGACATGGATAATTAGAACTAAAAAGATGTAAGTTCGGGAAATGTGTGTTTTCTTTTCAAGTTGGGATGAAGCGTGGGACTCCAGAGATATCTCTTGAGTTATAAAACTGGAGACACTGGGCTTCTCTGGCCCCTGGAGAGATTTATTTACATTATGAAAGGGTTAGAGAGAGTACAAGGATTCTTTACATCTTGTCTTCAAGGAGCAAAGTGTTTTTCCCCCTTCTTCTAGAAGGGTAGGAAGACAGTTGCCTTCTTTCTTACATAAATGCCTAGATTCACTTTCTCCCTTACAGTACAGACCCTATTGCCTGTAGGGTGACATCTGGTTTTCATTGTATCTCTCCAGGGATAAGAATTAAAGCAGGGAACCAGCACAATTATTATTATGTAAGTAATCATAATCTGTCTCTCATCCAAAAATGTCATGTGTATATTCAGGATTTTATAAAAATGAATGTGAAAAGCCCACAAAGACAATCACAATCTCCACCATAAATTCTATTATGAATGAAGCATAAGGAATAAGAATTTTTCATATGTTGGAAGTACCGAATATACAATTTGAAATATTGCTTCCTACTCACAAATTTACAATCAAACAGTAGTTACTAAAAAAATCATATTTCCTTACATTTGACTTTCCTTCAAATAGAAACTATCATCTATACTATTCTATTTTCCAACCATCTTGATTAATAAAATATGCAGTTCATTTCCATACTTTACCAGATATATGGTTCATATTGCCAAGAAAGAAATTATTGCCGAAATAAATTATAGCTTTTTAATTAAGCTTCTAATACAGCAAGTAATTTCTGCTATTTCAGACCTTCTAGATTTGGCATTAATTTTAACATTTTATATGTGTAAATGCAATTATTTTCCTACCACAATGTTGTATTTATTTTTTTGGTCCAAATCCAAAACATGCAAGTGAGAATTTCCAAAAGCAAGGCATTTTTATAGGCGTTTCATGTGGGTTCCAGTGGTAATGATCTATTCTATTCTTTCAATCAATGTCAGATTTATTTGGAGACATCTCATGGCATTTTATATGTGGAAAGAACTTTAGGGCATTACTTGTTGGCAGGGAAAAGCCAACGTGTGAAATCAGTTAAAATCTTGGACAAGAATCGGTACTGATCTAGTCCAGAGTTGTTTCACACTGTATTTTCTCATACCTGAGAATCAAATGGCAATAAATATCAAGCTACAGAACTTTAAATTTTTCTTTCTTTTTCTTTTTCTTTCTTTCTTTTCTTTTCTTTCTTTCTTTCTTTTTTTTTTTTTTTTTGGAGTCAGAAAGCATGAGTGAGGGAGGAGGGGCAGAGGGAGAGAGAAAATCTTAAGCAGGCTCCATGCTCAGTGCAGAGCCAGATGTTGGGCTCCATCCCACTACCCTGGGATCATGACCTGAGCTGAAATCAAGAGTTCGACAGTCAACCAACTGAGCCACCCTGGTCCCTGTAAAAGTGTTTCTATTGCCCTAAATTCTCTCTGAAATTTGGTATTGTCAGACTTTTTTTGTCTTTTTAAAAAAATCTTAAAATTTTTTTTAATGTTTATTCATTTTTGAGAGAGAGAGAGAGAGACATAGCATGACCAGGGGAGGGGCAGAGAGAAAGGGAGACACAAACACCAAGCAGGATCCAGGCTCTGAGCTGTCAGCACAGAACCTGATACGGAGCTTGAACTCTCAAACTTTGAGATCATGATCTGAGCCCGAGTCAGATGCTTAACTGACTGAGCCATCTAGGTGCCCCCCAAATCTTTTTTATTGCTCCTGGCTGGCTCAGTCCATAGAACAGGCAACTCTTCTTGATCTTGAGGTTCAAGCCCCATGTTGCATGTAGAGCCTAGTTAAAAAAAAAGTCATTTTACTTTTTATTAATATTATTAGGGGGTCACACTTTTTGGGAGGGGTCAGACTTTTAAAAAAATATTTATTTATTTTTGGGAGAATGCAAGTGGGGGAGGGGCAGAGAGATGGGGACAGAGGATTGAAGTGGGCCCTGTGCTAACAGCCTGACAGCAGTGAGCCTGATGTGGGGCTTGAACTCAAGAACCTTGAGATCATGCCCTGAGCCAAAGTTGGATGCTCAACCGACTGAATCACCCAGATGCCCAAGGTGGGGGTCAGACTTTTTAATTTGGTGGTTGTGTAATAGTACCTCATGGTAGCTTTAAATTGTATTTCCTTGATTATGGAGTTTAGTCAAATTTTTATATTTTTGGGCCATTTTAGGTTTTTTGGAGAGAGAAAGAGCATGTGTATGCACGCACACACACACAAATGCAGGAGTGGCAGAGAGAGAGAAGGAGAGAGAGAATCCCAAGCAGGCTTCTCACTGTCACACAGAACCTGACTTGGGCCTTGACCTCACGAACTATGAGACCCTGGCCTGAGCTGAAATCCAGAGCTGCATCCTTAACCGACTGGGCCATGCAGGTGCCTCCCAATTATTAATTATAGGAGTTCTTTATATATTTTGAACACCAGTCCTGTGGTAGTTATGAGTTGCTAATATTGTCTCCCATTCTATGGTTTGTCTTTTTTGTTGTTGTTGTTCTTTATAGTATCCTTTAGTATACAAAAGTTTAGTTTCAGTGTAGGCTAATTTATTAAA